AGGAATCTAAGAGTTCAAGGGAGAAATAATGGACAAAGAGGCTAAAAAAATGGTTATGTAAATTTTTTAAAAATAAATTGGCAGAACTCAATGAAGTGAAAATGAAAAAGCAACACAAAAAAGGTTTCTCTGAAACCAATAAAACACCATTTGAAAACACAAAAATTGGCAAGGAGCACAATAAGACAAGTGAGCAGGGCAGCCTGGGTGGCTCAGAGGTTTAGCACTGCCTTCAGCCCAGAGCCTGATCCTGGAGACCCAGGATCAAGTCCCACATTGGGCTCCCTACATGGAGCCTGCTTCTCCCTTTGCCTGTGTCTCTGCCTCTCTCTCTGTCTCTCATGAATATAAATAAAATCTTAAAAAAAAAAAAAAAGACAAGTGAGCAATGTGAAATGGAAATAAAGATTTTTAAAGGAAAAGAGAAAAAAATAGATTTCAATAAAAAACATCTAACAAACAAAAGAATCCTTGCAGTGGACTCACAGAACTTTTATCATTGGTCATAGTATAAATTTAATAGATACTGTCTAAAACAAGAGATTAAAAGATTTAGTAAAAAAAAAGAGACAAACCATAAGACACTCTTAACTATAGAGAACAAATGAGGGTTGCTGGAGGAGAGATAGCAGGGGATGGGCTAGATGGGTGAAAGGGATTAAGGAGGAATTTGTGAGGGCAGCCCCAGTGGCTCCCGGTTTAGCACTGCCTTCAGCCCAGGGAGTGATGATCCTGGAGACCAGGGATTGGGATTGAGTCCCATGTCGGGCTCCCTGAATGGAGCCTGCTCCTCCCTCTGCCTGTGCCTCTGCCTCTCTCTGTGTGTGTCTCTCATGAATAAATAAATAAAATCTTTAAAAAAAAAATAAGGAGGCACTTGTGATGAGCACTGGATACTATATATAAGTGATGATCAATAAATTCTGCTCCTGAAACTAATATTACACTATATGTTAACTAGCTAAAATTTAAATAAAAACTTGAAATATTAAAAATAAAAAAGACTGAGATCAAGATGTTAATGTGATAAAGATATTAAAAGAATCAACCATATATAAAAGAATCCAAAATTCCAAATTACCAGAAGGGACACAGAAACAAAGCAAGAGTAAAGAGTGTAAGGTGAAAGATATATAGAAATATTTTTATCAGAAATGTACATAAAATACATCTTTCTGAACTGCTGTACAGAAAAAGTGCACAAGGACTCCAAACAATGGCAGTAAAAGGATGAAAAAATAAACATATCCGGAAATGCCAACAAAAAGGAATCAAGAACCTCCACCTAATATCAGAGCTGAATTCTAGGGAAAAAATATGAAAAATAACAAGAACACAATCCAAAATTAATTTCAGATGTCATCACCACACCAAATTTCATAGTATCAAAATTTATGAACAGAAACTACAGATAAATACAGACAGAAATATATTTGTGGTGAGAAACTTAGTATTTCTCAGCTCCAACAGATAAAGTAAAAACAAAACAGACTGTGAAAACCTTATAACAATACGAAATGGCTAATTAAGACAGCAAATTCTGTGTCTTGAAACATTCATGTGCCTATGTAACATTCAGAAATAATAAACATAAGACTTCCATACACACTTTACATAAAACCTAACATTCCAAGAAGCAGAATAAAATGAGTGCAAATAAATCTAAAGCTCCAATTCTATTAAAAGTAGAATTAACTTGGGGTGCATGGGTAGCTTGGTCAGTTAAGTGTCTGCTTTTGGCTCAGGGCATGATCCCAGGGTCTGGGGATTGGACCCCAAGTTGGGCTCTCTGCTCAGCAAGGAGCCTGCTTCTCCCTCTCTCTGCCACTCCGCCTGCTTGTGCAAATAAATAAAATATTTTTTAAAAATTAACTTAAAGGGCAGCCCTGGTGGCGCAGCAGTTTAGCACCGCCTGCAGCCCAGGGCATGATCCTGGAGACCCGGGATGAGTCCCACATCAGGCTCCCTGCATGGGGCCTGCTTCTCCCTCTGCCTGTGTCTCTGCCTCTCTCTCTCTCTCTCTGTGTCTCTCATGAATAAATAAAAAATAAAATCTTTAAAAAAAAATTAACTTAAATAAAAATCTTAATACCTAAAAGTGAAAGTGTGGTAAATAGTAATTAAAGATTTGGTGAGAAAATTTTTTTTAAAAGATTTTATTTATTTATTCATGATAGTTACACACAGAGAGAGAGAGAGGCAAAGACACAGGCAGAGGGAGAAGCAGGCTCCATGCAGGGAGCCGACATGGATTCGATCCCGGGTCTCCAGGATCGCGCCCTGGGCCAAAGGCAGGCGCCAAACCGCTGCGCCACCCAGGGATCCCGATTTGGTGAGAAATTCAATATGTTCCGAGAAATTCATCCATTCCATCTCTAGATTTTTTGTATTTACATAAGACAAATTATTTTTCTAAATTATTTCTGAACACTGTTTTGCTATATATTTTATCTTTTGACATATAGCATTTTTTTAAATTTTTTTTTAATTTATTTATTTATGATAGTCACACAGAGAGAGAGAGAGAGAGAGGCAGAGACACAGGCAGAGGGAGAAGCAGGCTCCATGCACCCGGAGCCCGATATGGGATTCGATCCCGGGTCTCCAGGATCGCGCCCTGAGCCAAAGGCAGGCGCCAAACCGCTGCGCCACCCAGGGATCCCGACATATAGCATTTTTATTATTTTTAAGAAATTTTATTATTTTAACTTTGGAATGAACTGCTGAGTAAGAAAATGTCTGCTTCACATGTGAACCTATGATAAACCCTATTTATTTTTTTCATGTGCTCTTGAATTTAGTTAATACATTTATGACTTCTGATACTATGTTCAAAATTTCCAGTTCTTTTAATGTTCTTGACTGGTTTGAGCATCAGGATTACTGTAGTAACAAACACCACAAATAAGGTTGGGAATAATTTTAGATACCATCTTTACCCAATACTTTGGCATAAAGCTCAACTATTAATCCACGTGTTTTTCACCACTTTCAACTGTGCAGGAAACATTTGATAAACATTTTAATTTCTTCAAAGGCTTCTGGACCATCTGTATTTACCAATTTTGACATTTATTTTTTATAAAAGTGTATACCTTTGTTCAGGTTTTCACATTTTTTGTATGATTTTGTATAATATTAATTCATGATTGTTCTAATTGTTGATAAAGCAATAACCATCTCTCTTGTTTGGATACATACTTTCACTGTATCTCTACTCCCTGATATGGATTACCCCCACATTCAGAAGCCACCTGCGCTCTGTCAGACATCTTCATCAATTATTCTCTATGTGACTAATTTCTTCCCTTATTTTATTATTTTCATTATTTTCTAGTCCTTATTACTATTTCATATCTACTGAATTCTTTTCTAACTTCTTCAGTTCTGAGTGTTACTCTTACCTTAGGTCTTTTCCCCCCAAGCTTCCAGGATTCCGTAAAAAGGCATTTAAATCTGTATTTTTTCCCCTCTATCGATAATTTAGCTTTGCCACAGAAACTTTAAATGTAGTTCTTGGGACGCCTGGGTGGCTCAGTGGTTGAACATCTGCCTTTGGCTCAGGGCATGATCCCAGAGTCCCAGGATGGACCCACATCAGGCTCCTTGAATGGGGCCTGTTTCTCCTCCCTCTGCCTATGTCTCTGCCTCTCTCTGTGTGTCTCTCATGAATACATAAAATGTAGCTATTTATTTAATTGAAATTAAACTTAAAAGAATTTTCTAAGATCCTTTACAGTTTTCCCTTTAAAGAATATTTGAGTAGAAAAAAATTTAAAGTTTTCAAATATGAGGGGTTCTTTTGCTAGGCTTTTACTTTTTAAAACTATTTTTTAAAAATTGTGGTAAAATGTACATAACATAAAATTTACCATTTTAAAACGTACAGCTCAGTGATACTAAGTCTAGTCTCAAAGTTGTACAAAAGTCATTTACTTTGTATTTCTAATTTAATGCTTTTGGTTAGGGAATAAAATCAACATTATAGCAAAGTTTCATACTTTTTGCCTGTCTGGATTAATATTTTTGGAAGTAGTTCATAAAAATGATTAATGGAGGGCAGCCCCGGTGGCTCAGCGGTTTAGCACCGCCTTCAGCCCAGGGCGTGATCCTGGAGATCCGGGATCGAGTCCCACGTCGGGCTCCCTGCATGGAGCCTGCTTCTCCCTCTGCCTGTGTCTCTGCCTCTCTCTCTGTGTCTCTCATGAATAAACAAACAAAATCTTTTAAAAAAAAAAAAAAGAAGAAGAAGAGGAAGAAATAGAGAGGGACACCTGGGTGGCTCAGTGGTTGAGCATCTGCCTTTAGCTCAAGGCATGATCCTGGGGTCTGTGGATCGAGTCCCACATCAGGCTCCCTATGAGGAGCCTGCTTCTCCCTCTGCCTATGTCTCTGCCCCTCTCTGTGTCTCTCATGGATGAATAAATTAAAAATATTAAAAAAAAAAAAAGAAATACTTTCAGAATTCCACACAAAAATAACTTCTAATCGGGAATCTCATCCTCAGCCAAAGATCAATATAGCACATGGACAAAATAACAGGCAGGGTTTTGTTTTGTTTTTTTAAGAAATGTTTTTCGTTTCTTTGTTTTAAGGTTTTATTCATTGTTTGACAAGGAGAGTTTAAGCAGAGGGAGCAGCAGAGGGAGATAGAGAAGCAGGCCTCCCGCTGAGCAGGGAGCTTGACTCTGGGGCTCAATCCCAGGACCCTGAGATCATGACCCAAGCTGAAGGCAGACACTTAACCAACTGAGCCACCCAGGCACCCCTAAAAGGGAGTTTTTGACATTCTATCTCTGTACTGTTATACAGTGGGCCTCAGGATATGGAGACACCCATGTGTTGCTCATTCTTGGCAGAAAAATCAAGATTTGCTTCAGGGCAATAAGAGTCTGGTTGATTCCTGTGACCCATTTGCCGCTGCCCAGAGGCTCTGGTGACATATCAGAGGTATCTACTCCTAGAATGAACTCCTACCCCTTGGGACTCTTCCTTCTCACCTCAAATGAATCGTCATGTTCCTCTGGAACCAGGATCAGGGATTTCTGGGGAGAGGTCCGATTAGCTGACATAGTCATGGTAGGTCTCAAACTTTAATCTCTCAGGAGCCTAAAGCTTTGTAGACATCTGTAAACTCAAGCAGAGCTGCTGGAGAGAGGCAGGCTGGAGTCTGGATAATGATCTAACCCAGGGGCTCCCCAGAGACACCAAAAAACCTAGAACGACAATGTCCACATGGTCAGATACTCGATATTTATCACACAAACATTTCCTGTGAACACCAAGGTGAAGTTCCCAGAGCTAGAAACAACAGAGGCTCTCAAACTTGAGTGTGGATTCAAAACACTTGGAGGGCCTCTTAGAATACAGTTAAAAATCCTTAACTTCACTCCCAGGTTCTGATTTAATAGGCCCAGGGTAGCAGTTGTCTTAGTTCAGTCAGGCTGCTATAATAAAATACAACAGACTGGGTAGCTTATAAACAACGAAAATTTATTGCTCACAGTTTTGGAGGCTGTAAAGTCCAAAATCAAGGAGACAGTGTGGTCACATTTTAGTCAGGGGACTCTTGCTGGTTCATAGCCAGCACCTTCTCATTGTGTCTTCACTTGGTAGAAGGGGCTCAGGAGCTATGTGGGATGTTTTGTAACAGCACTATTCGTTTATGAGTGCCCCACCTCCATGACCTAATCGGTTCCCAAAGGCCTCACCAACTAACACGATTATTTCTGGAGATCAGGATTTCAACATAAAGCTTTTGGGGGGTACAAACACTCAGCCCAAGAATTTACTTTTTTTTTTTTTTTTTTTAAGAATTTACATTTCTAAACAGTGTCCAGGTCATGTCGATGCTGAGGGTCTGAGGACACTTTGAGAACCAGTGCTGTGGAAAATATAAAGCTTAATGGAACCTATGATGGGTATTGGCCATGAGATATGGAGTAATATTACTTAAGATTTGAACTGTAGCTCTGCTATCTTTCAGTTATGAAAATAGGAAGAAGTGCCTTCTGTTTTAGTTTCAAAAATGAGGATGAAAGTACTTATTTCTTAGTTACACAAATTAAAATGAGGTGATGCTCATAAAGTATTCAACATCTCCCTGGCGCACAAGAAGCATATAATAAATATCAGCCATTACATTCTCTATTAGATATTAAAACTTAATAAAAACCAATGTAATAAAAAAAGACAAAACAAAACATATATATTGACTTATATAACAAAAATGGTATTCAACTGAGTGTACACAGGACATTTATTCAGTGGCACTGACATAATTGATCATCCACCTGGAAAAAAACAAACTAGATCCCCATCACACATTATACATTAATTAGACTGAATTCTATCAAGACTAAACATTTAAGCATATGTATTTTTTTAAATCCCAAGAGATATTTAAATAAATTTTAGTAATAAATGTTTGTGTTAACATTGTGGTTGGGTAAGAGAGATCTTTATTACATATGTGAGAAAACCCAGATGCTATAAAAGGAAAAACACATTTCTGGGTAGATGATATTTCTTAATTATATATTAAAATACACCTTAAAATAAAAATGAAAAAAAAATAAAATTTCAATATGTAACAATAGGTTATCTTTAAATTAAAAAAAAAAAATCTAGCAACCAGTATGGGGGGGAAAAGCCCAGAAAAAAAAGACTGAACAAAGGATATAAAAATTCACAGAAAAGGAATTTTAAATGGTAATTAAGCAAACAGATGCCATTTTACTAACAGGAAAGTGCATTACGGCAATTAGATCTAATTTCTCCTAAGAATAATAAAATTTATTTTATTTTATTTTTTAAGTATGTTTTGGGCCCAACATGGAGCCCAAAACATAGGGCTTGAACTCACCACCCAGAGATCTAGACCTGAGCCAAATCAATAGTCAGTTGCCCAACGGACTGACCCACCAAGGTGCCCAGTAAAAACTTATTTCAAAAAAATACAGTGGGCAGCCCCGGTGGCTCAGCGGTTTAGCGCCGCCTACAGCTCAGGGCGTGAACCTGGAGACCCGGAATCGAGTCCCACGTCAGGCTCCCCTGCATGGAGCCTGCTTCTCCCTCTGCCTGTGTCTCTGCCTCTCTCTCTCTCCTCTCTGTGTATGCTCATGAATAAATAAGTAAAAAATCTTTAAAATAAATAAGTAAATAAAATGCAGTGTTGGAGGGATGCCTGGGTAGTCTCTGCCTGTCTCTCATGAATAAATGAAATCTTAAAAAAAATAAAAAATAAAAATAAAAAAATCCAGTGTTGGAAAGCATTTGGAAAAACGACCCGTTTTATAAATTATTGGTGGGAGCTAGAATTGCTATGGTATCTTTTGAGTTAATCATATCTATAATTAAAAATAATAAACTGTTTCTAATAATAGTTTCAAATATAAAAAGCAGATGCTGACAAAAGGAAGGTCAAGTGGACAAATTACCAATCCAGTCAATTTACCTTTGTCTTTAATTTTCTTTAATCAGACAAGATAAGCTGAGTGTATCTATGAAACAACACAATAGAGAACACATTGTTTTGACGTTACACATGTGACATTTATGAAAACCGACCAAGAACTAGACGTAAAGCAAACTTTAAACTCGAGCATTACCCAGAGGCATTATTTGAAATCGACAACGCACTTCTAATAACTCATGGATGAGAGAAAAAAAAATTAAAAGCCAGTACTTTTTGACTGGAACAATAAAATGCTACACACCAAAATTTATGAATGTTTAGAAAGCAAGCTTATCATAGAACCCATCGAACCCAGCTCACTGACCACTGACTCCCATCACTGAGTCCACAAACCCCACACTCATCTCAAAGATCCCCATCGCTGACCCAAGAGACTCCAATCACAGCAACGGACGCCACAATCTTCACCACTGAGCCCAGAAACCGCCATCACTCACTCTACAGACAACACTCCCATCACCGACCCCACAGAATCCCTAATCACGACCAACCCAAATCACCTCAGAGACCTCTTGCAATTGATACGGGGAGAAACTCCTGACACCAGCAGAGAAAAAGCCTTCGTAGAGGACCACTTCCGCTTCCGGTCTGCCCTCTAACTCCTCCCCTCAGGAACTGTTGCTAGTGCGCATGCTCTGAGCTACCTTGGAAGCTACGTGTGCCAACAATCAACATGGCGCAGTTCCTATAAGAGACCCAGTCTGGCCGAAAACATGGCCTCGCCCAGTGTGCCTCTGAGGGTGAGCCGCCATCTTTGAGGCGTCTCCATTCCGTACAGCGGAGGATTAGGCCACCCGCGGGTTTTCACAGCGCGAGGTCGTGATTGCCGCTTGAGGCCCTGGTCAAGGTATGCTTCTGAGAGGGAGAAGATATTGGCGGTGAAGTCCGGTGCTCTGTGTTATATTTAGAAAAGCTAATTTGCCTCCAGGGATACGGCGTACAGCTGAGAGCAATTATGTGCTGGGAGAAACCACCTGGGATGAGGGGAGCCAGGGAGGAATAATCACCAAGGAAGGAGGACAAACGTCTGTTACGGCTGAATCTTGGGAGGAGTCATGGGGAGAAATCTGGACAGTCCAATCTACTTTTTTGGACAAACTGCTGAGGGAGAATGTGGAGAGAGGTCAGATGGGAGCCCCATCCTGGACCAAACCTCCAGTCCACTGCAGGAAGGGTTTTTTTAGCCTTTTATGGGAGAAACCACCTGGGAAAATAAGGTACAAATCAAGGTGGTCCAGTCTTCTCCTGAGGGACACCGCCTGGGCAAGACGGCACCTTCTGAGGGCCTGGTGGAGGGAAGTGGAGCCTTGAATCCCCATTAAACTCCTTTAGGAGGCAACAATTATAAAAATAATAATGGTTTTTAACATGGTCGACGTGTGACAAAAAGCACCTAAGGTAAACTGATACTTTTGTTTATTTGTAAATTAAAATCTAAGTAATAAAACGTCCTTGGTATATGAATAAAGCCTAGAGTCGGGTTAGGGGGGGGCAGTAAATGGGGGAGCAGGTGTAAAGACAGTTCCCTTCACCTGGTAAGCCCGTAAACATTCTTCAAAACCCGCTAAATATTGCTTCTGCCAGGAAGTTCTTCTACCTGACTGTGGTAGGAGGTTCTATGATCTACTGAAAGTCTGTGTCAATCCTGGAAGTGGGGAACGTGTTTTGAGGGAACCAGACCTAGGCTCTGGTGTGGGCCTGCTGGGTACCTGGAGGCTAGTTATATCCCTTTCTGAGATTCAGCTTAAAAATAGGTGGGACACCTGAGCGGCTCACCGGTTGAGGGTCTGCCTTTGGCTCAGGGCATAATACCGGAGTACTGGGATCGAGTCCCACATCGGGATTCCTGCATGGAGCCTGCTTCTCCCTCTGCCTGTGTCTCTGTGTCTCTCATGAATAAATAAATAAAATTAAAAAAAAAAAAAAAAGAGCCATCTAGAGTTTTGGACTGTGCTTACACCAGGTTCTCCTCCCAAAGCCTGGTTGTAGGAAAAATCTGTAGAAATCTATTAGTGAACACACATTTTTACCAAAGATCTAAGAATTACCGTTAATTTTGTTGGTAATGTGATTATGTTAGAAAGATTTACCTTTTAGAGGTTTATATAGAAATACTAACAAAGGACGCCTGCCTGGGTGGCTCAGCGGTTGAGCGTCTGCCGTTGATTCAGGGCATGATCCTGGGTCCAGATCAAGTCCCACATCGGTCTCCTTGCGTGGAGCCTGCTTCTCCTTCTGCCTGTGTCTCTGCCTCTTTCTCTCTGTCTCTCTTGAATACATAAAGTGTTTTAAAAAAGAGAGAGAGAAAGAAATAGTAACGAGCAAAATGTTAGCTTAAAAAACATCACCGAGGAGAGGTAGATGGATAAATAAAACAGTAACAATATTGGTAAATGTTAAAGGTAGGTGATAGGTACATAAACTTCATTATGATGTTTTCTTTAGTATTTGCTTGAAAATTTCACAGTAAAAAATTAACTGAAATGAAAAGGAATTTTAAAATCATTTATAAGGGAATATTATCAAGAAGAAAGCAGGTGTGTTGATAGTATTAGATTATACAGACTTCAAAGCAAACAATATTAAGAGATGTTCCATATTTTAATGAGATGCAGCCACCAAGAGCATACAACACTAATAATACCTAACAATATAGCTCTGAAATGTATACAGCAAAAGCTGGTAAAATAGGGAACTTTTGAGGAACCCACAATGACAATAACTAAAATGTCTTTCAGAAACATTAAATAGAAGAAAGGTAGGTATAAGGCTACATTGGGTAATTTGCTTGATATATACGTTTTGTTTTTGTTTTTAACAAGAAAAACAACATTTTTTCAAATCTACATGGAACACTCATAAAAATTCTCCAAAAAGTAGGCCATAAAAGACATTATAAAGCCCCCAAACTGATATCACATACTCTAACACTACTTAAAAATAAAAATAGAGGGATGCCTGGGTGGCTCAATGGTTGAGCATCCGCCTACAGATCAAGGCATGATCCCAGAGTCCCTAGATTGAGTCCAATATCAGACTCCTCACTGGGAGCCTGCTTCTTCCTCTGCCTACATCTCTGCCTCTCTCTGTGTGTCTCATGAATAAATAAATAAAATCTTAGAAAATAATAATAATAATAAGGGATGGGGCAAAGTGATACCCAGAATAAAATCTCACCTAAAATTAGGAAACTGGAAAGCGTGAAAGCAAATTAATTAAGCTTTAATTCAATCACATTCTACTAAAGTCCTATTAAATACTGCCAAAGAAATTGGAAAGGAGAAATTAATGTGATAGATATTAATAAAATAAGTAGGGAAAAAATCCTGGTAGTAATAATAAAACCATGATCTAGTTCTCTGTAAAAAACTGAAGTCATTTTTTTAATAAAGATGAAAAAAATAGAGATCCCTGGGTGGCGCAGCGGTTTAGCGCCTGTCTTTGGCCCAGGGCGCGATCCTGGAGACCAGGGATCGAATCCCACATCGGCTCCTGGTGCATTGAGCCTGCTTCTCCCTCTGCCTGTGTCTCTGCCTCTCTCTCTCTCTGTGTGTGAGTATCATAAATAAATAAAAATTAAAAAAATATATATATAGGATGTAGCAATTAGGATCATGGCCTCTAGTGCATCTCTGACACTTATCGGAATCAATTCCACGTGTGTCTTTATTCTCCACATCATTCTTCTCTGATCATACCTTACTTTGAGGGGAGTTTCTGGGTAGGAACTTTGGGAGATAAGTCTCATAATGTAGCAAATCTCCTGAATATAAGGTATGCAAAATATTCCATGAAGCCAGAAAGCATGACAAATGCCCACTACAGTCTATACCTGGCTGGCCAGCATGT